GAAATGCTGTATACCTACCTTTTTAAATTGAAAATGTTAAGAATATTTTGGTGCACTTTTTCACACATTTTCATTTATGCAATTTTCAGCAGTTTGACCAGGGAATATAAAGGTTTCAACATTTAGACTTGAACTCTCCATTTGTTTCATTTGCATTAACCATTTACCAGATGAATTGAGTTTAAAACTGTGAAACTTCTAAATCATGACTGCATGTAAAGCTTAAAAATTATGCTTCTAATAGACTCAATATCAATATATGCATCTTAGTAAGGAGGAAATAAATGAAAATGAACTGAAACTTCAGAAATCTTATGGAAAAACATAAAAATATGCTATTCTTCAAATTAAACTGTAAATATCCAAGTTCCAAGGCCAAACATGACACCAAGCTCTGCACTAAGATTAGTGTAATGGTAATGCACAATATGATTGTCAATACTTTCATTCTCTGATCACTTTGCATGGAGACAATCATGACTAGTGAGACTGGAAAAAGTTTAAAGGAGAACAGATAAATAAAATTAGAGATTGCAACTTACTTTGTTCACTTGAACTTCAATCTTGATTCTTCCATGATATATTTCCCTCAATCTTGCAGTATAAAGTTGATAATCCACTTCATATTGTATGTAAGGTACTATAAAATGGTTAGTTTCCTTAGTCTGAAGATTTCTACCAGCTGTATCTGAAACATTCACTATGAATGTAAAATAACACCTATAAAACATGTATTTGACCAACTAATAATTGATTCTCAAAAATAGAATTATAACATTCAAGGTTGAAACATGAACAACACCTCAACATTTATATATTATGTAAAAAAGTTATGGAGGGAAGATAACCAACGATGTGATAAATCTCCGAAGTCTATTATGTACTTACTTGTTAATCGTGAAACATTACAATTTTTCGTCAAATTTTGTTCCAGCACCTATTATTGTTGTTGTTGAACTGCTTCGTGTTGTCCAAAACAAGTCCAAAATCGATGAAAAAGATCATTCATCTTATAAAAAATTTCTTCTTGTTGAAATATGATTATAATACCAAGTAAATAAATAATATACACAATCATAACAATCTTGGAAACATTTTGTAAAATCGCTTCCGTGACCTGCCACTAGTGCCAATCCGCCATTTTAATTGACGTACGCCAGCGTTGCCACTTCGACATTTGGTGAAGTTTCCTAGATCGTGTTTTTCATACCATCGAAAAAAGTGCGCACTGATAGATGCGCTTTTTTGTCGTGACGTCACCAATTGTTGATGGAATCTATGCTGGAGCGATGGAACATTGAAATATACAACACTTTGATGGAAAAACAGATTTTGTTGTGTGTTGGTCTGTCATGTATCTTCAGAATCAGAAGAGGCTGATACGATGTTATATAGATTTTATTGATTAGCAATAACTACATCTTCTGAAATCTCAAAAATCCGCAATATTTTTTGTTTTCTATCAAATTGAAACGAAGAACAATACTTACAATGTGTCAATTGTCATGTCAGTCTCTCCCAAACCGCTGGGTTAGCGCAAAGAGATTTGAAAGTATGCATTTTATTACAACAGTTTAATGCCTGTCCATGGTTTCTTCGATTCATAAGCATGACAAAATGTTGGAATAAAAAACGCACCTATACTTCTTTTTTTCTCTTCTTTATTGCATTTTGTCCTCAATTTTTCATTACTTGCAAGAATGCACGGTGGAGAACAGAATTCGAACATACGGATTATTTGTAGCATTGCATCCTTATAACACGGTGGCACGCTTCAGGTAGGTTAGAATTCGTACTGCAAGAATAGGGTCCCTTGATGTGAATTGACGTATTTGTTATCTTGTTAGATGACAAATACGTCAGTTTGCATCAAGGAACCCTAGGCTAGATGAACTATTTGACTAGCATTCATTATTGGAATAGAATATATATGTGCACATATATCTAAATGGAATGATCTGCTGTATTCAAGTTTATAAAATGGTGAATAAAATATAAAAATTTTATGTATTCTCTTATTATTGGACTCATGTTTCAACTAGAATGTAACCTGTGCCGTGCCTTCGTAAATCTGTAGTGGAAATAATTGCATTGCAAACTACTCATGAATCCAATAAACTACCTCCACTGCATATCAGAAATTTATGTGAACGACACGTCTCACGACGTTAGGTTACTAAATTGGCAAGGTGACGATTCCGATAAGACATCTGGTGGGCATATTTGAACCAGTTTGAGACGAAATTCGAGGTCATTTTTGTTATTAGTTTCATAATATTCAATATATTCATATTTTATGTACATCCATTCTACAAATTATGTTAATTTTCTCTTCTTGCCTCTCTTGACTACAGGACTTGAACTTCATGTTTTAATTACCGACTAAATTTTCTATCAATTTATAAACTATAAATCAAAAAAACCTCTCTAGAAACTGCGAAATCATCTGTTTTCTAGATGGTTGCATGGTCCCAAAAGAAATATGTACCTTGGACCTAAGATGGCCCTCAACGGTCGATCACCTTGCCAATTGAGTTCAATGAAATGATCTTCTTTTCAATGTGAAATGGCGAAACAATAAAACATGATAAACGTGTGAGAAGATAATATGAGTTGCCGTTAGAGCTCGTTTTTCGTCAAAAGTAGATTTTCGTAGTGAAAACTAGAGACGGTTGATTCGATATGGTGCGTGAAACCATACCTCATGCATAGTTCAGTGGAACCAATAATGACAGATGGCCTGAGTCAGAATTCTTCCTAGTTTCAAGTCAATTTCTGATTTCAACAAACCAAGACTATAAATGTCTAAACTAGTTCTTGCAGTAAATCTAGTTCAGACTGAAATCAGGTTTTCGTGGTAATATATACATAAAAATCACCACACGCCAATCCACAGGCATAAAAATACAGTTTCAAATTGTTACCGATGACATGTTTTGTAGATTGCAAAGTACTATAAAATTCTCACTACATCGGATTTTTTTCTCGAACCGGCAACTGTGTAATTTGCATCCAAATCATCATCGATAGTGGCGCACCCGCCGCCCCGTGACAATTTTGGAAAGCATTCTCATTTAATTGTAATTTCGTGATATCAAGGTGGCTGGTTGCCGATTTGGTCGTCATGTTGTGGGACACGCTCTAGGATAGGGACTTGACGCACCAGTCCTTATTCCTTCACATTATGGATTTCTTCATTATTTTTACGCCGGCGGGAGCAGGGGCGTCCGGAGGGGGGGGAGGCAAGGGGGGGCGCCCGCCTCCCCCCCTAGCCCCCCTAGTTAACAAACCCACAAAAGGTATTCCATGTTCCATGCTATGTTCTTACGTAATTTGTGAGGTTATTGAGAAAAAGTAGGTAGGTACCAAGGACTCTCTAGGTGAATTTAAAAAGAAGTTAGAGATCACGTGAATTCAAAATGAAAATGATTCAAATTTCACGTCCTATAAATATTCTATTTTATGCTCTTCAGGGATTTAAAGGGTACCTTTGTTTCCTTTTTTCGTGGAAAAAGTGGTACTGTAAATCCCTAGGAATTCAAAGTTGATATCTTTGCAATAAAAAAAATAGCATTATACATACTAGTCTGGATTTCTCCGGCAATAAATTAATCGAAGCCTTGTCTACATTTTTTATGATATTCTTTGGTAAATTCGTATTCATTTCTAATATTTCTATAAAACTACACAAAGAAAACAGCAATGAGATTCACTAAATTGAAGGATGACAGCAATATTCAACAAACGTCAAAATATCAACAAATGCCATGCCTACCATGAGAAGAAAAATAGAAAAAAATTCTAGGAGCAATGAACCGCTTTTTAAAATCGTTTTTTCATTGTAATAAGATATTTTTTTTTTTGGGAAGAATAAAATCTTGTATGCACCACGAGCGTTACTAGATACTATAGGATCTATATAACGCACTTGTTACATAAATACAGGGCCTACTCTAAGAGTAGGCCCCGATAGATAACTAGCAATGGTTTTCTTTCATTCACCTGTCATCCTTTTTGACTTACCTATTCGACTTGGAAAATACCTATTCCAAAAAAATATGCTATAAAGGAATAGAACTTCCGTTATAAGAAAATGTTATCGTCAACGATGGTGAGTCATATTATTTAGAGTATTTCAAGGTCCAATATTCCAAAAGGTATGACAGCTAGACCTATAAACTGAAATATTTTGATTCAGGAAAAAGATCTGAGTTGAAGAGGATTGTCTATAGGGCCAACTGATATTTGACTATTATTCAAAAAATTAATACAACTTTTTTTTTCTAACTTTTTTTCACAGCTACTTTGAAAGAGAGTTGAAGGGGTCTTAGAATATATGTGAATAAGAGACTCTACCTACTACATGTCTCCAATATAAACTTACCGGCAAAAAAACGGCCATCCTTAAAATTCGTTATTTGAACTAGAGAATGGCAACAAGTTCAGGAGGGCGGTTTTTTTGTTGGACAGTGTATAAATATGAACTACTTTTCCCATTCTCGTTCAAATTCAAATTATCAGAAAAATCATTCCTGGATTCACATTTTTTTTTGTCAATTTACCGTTAGTTTTTTCCTTGTTTTTTCAGTACCTACTTAAGTTATGCTGACCACTTTATTTTTCTGAAAATGTATTGGGCAATTGAACATTATTTTGCATTATTTCTCGAATTTCTCGTTCTCTTTTGGTTATATCACATTCACATACGTTTATTAACATCTGGCTCCCAATAGTTTCAATCAACAGTTAGCCTTATACGAGACGTTTCATAACAAATAACAATTTACATTTTATCTTTACAGTTACTCATTTGATTACTACTTTTCGTACTACTAGACTTCTTATTTGTGTTTGAACAGTAACCCAAGAGTGCAGTATTAATTTGTTACACAAATGCCATTGTCATTTATTTGGAAGAGCTAAATGTGAGATAATAATTTCATATTATTTTTTATGTTTTCAGATATTAATATGAAGTGACTGCTTTTGGCCTCAGAACAATGACAAAGCCAAAAATCAAATACCTCCACGATAAACCTTTGAATACCATCTACTATGAACACAATCATCATCAGTCTACCCTTCTAGAAGGTTTGAATTCGCTTCGACAAAAAGGAGAATTGTTGGATATCACTCTAGTCATTGGTAATAAGTGAATAACATCCCAAATATTAAATTTATCAGAATCTACGATTAACGTTCGGAATCGTTTGAAATCTAAGCATAGCAATTTCTGGGAGTATACCAGTTGAAATGTTTTTTTATCTTGTTCATAGTATTCACTGCTCGAACCTGTATTCAATATACGTTCGCAGGATTTTTCTGAAAATTTGGCATCTTACCTTTTATCACCTGTTCTATCGATCTAAAATATTTTCTAAATTGCGACGTTGCTCTGTCTATCAAAGTCCTAGCAACTATATTTTTTTAAATGGAACTTCACGTATATTAATACATTTTTAGAATTGCCTTTCATTACAATACTCTTTTGTTGATAAATCCCTATACCTATCTCTATCGATTTTCGAGATAGAAAATAATTTGTGTTGAATATGATCCAAAACATATCCCTAATTGTACTTGAGTAATTCAGAGCTGTCGATTCACTAAGAGTTGATATTTTAGGGGTGGTTTAGACAGGCTTGGTGTATTCAATTTACACCGAAAAATCGCTTCCATATCTTACAGGGCGTGCTGAAATTATTATTATATTCGTTGTTAATGCAAGTGGTCAAAAGTTCATTTTTTCAAATGGAACCCACTGTTTTTTGCTCAATAAATTGAAGGACGAAGAAAAATGCTACAAGATGACATAGCATGTCCCTATATACCTAAATGATCAAGTTTTCAAACTTCCTCTCGTCCATTGATGGTGTCAATTCAGGATACATTTGGTTGAATTTCCCAATAGTTGTGACTCACCCTGTATATAAAGTCATACTTATTCATGTCATTATTATAAGGGCAATAACATATAATTGTTACAATATCCAGACATCAATGAAGTTGATTTTATCATGATTATTTTTTCTGTTTCAGAGGGTACAGTTTTTAAGGCACATAAGGCAGTATTAGCTGCCTGTAGTGATTATTTCAGAGCCATGTTTACTGATAACATGCTAGAAGCCAGACAGAATGAAATTTGCTTGAATGGTATATCTGCCAAAGGTACATTACTGATCAGTTTCATTTGTTTTACATACATTCTTGAGGTTTTCAGATGCTTTATCAATAAAGAGCCTATCTATCGCTCTTTTGTTTCCCTGTCCCTCTTTTTAATATCATTATTTTGTTATCATCCTGACAATAATTCAGGGTGTCCCAAAATTGCTGGGACACACAGCTACCACGTGTATAGAAGGTCAAAATAAGTTGATTGGACCCAATTTATTTAAGTGCCAGAATGTACCGTTTGTCCGTGAGAAGGGTCCATAGTTCACATAAAAAAACACATTTTTGTATGCTGTTCAGAAACAAGTGAAACGAATTTGATGAAAATTGGCAATAGTGTATTTCAGAGGTTTAATTTCTTTCTGGTAATCGAAGAAACCTGAAAGAAATCTCACCCCCTGACATTTTTTTCGGAACTTTTCTAGGGGTCATAATACAGTTATAAAATTTTTTGAACTTGAAGACTAATCAATTACCTTCATTTTATTGCTCTTGTAAAAATTTACTATACCGCATAGTTTCGAAGAAAAAAATGTTCTCTCAAATAATGCTACCAGTAAGAGTACAAGTTTAATGAAATTGTGATATAAAATTTATTTGGCAGTGGAAACAAAAGCAGAACGTTTCTTCATGATAAATGTTCAATATGACGCCCACCTTCATTGAAACAAATATCAATTCGACGTAAAAAATTGAAATGCACCCTCCTTATTAGGACATCGTCGTTGTCTCGTAGTGCGTCAACGGCATTTTCGATTCTATTCCACAGTTGTTCGAAAGTATCAATTTGAACTTCATACACTTGTGTTTTTAACGCTCACCAGATGAAGAAGTCGCACGGATTCAAATCGGGAGACCGTGGAGGCCATTAAATAGGTGCTACTTGTCCCCTACCAATCCATCTATGTATCAAGAAATTATTCTTTTAGATATTGCCTTGTCTGAAGAATTTATTGAAACATTTACAGTCAACGACAACAACTAACTTGAATGGCAATAAAGTTGTTTCCTGTCAAAATCACGACATTTTCACAAGAGCAATTAAATTAAGGTTATTGATTAGTCTTCAAGCTCAACAAATTTCAAAACCGTATGTCAGGGGGTGAGGGTGGTTTTAACCCTTCTACAATTCCTTTTAGATTTATTGGATTACCAAAAGGGAAGTGATCCTTTGAAATATAGTATTGCCAAATTTCATCAAATTCGTTTCACTCGACAAACGGTACATTTTGTATTGGGCCCAATCAACTTATTTTGACCTCTTCTATACGTGGTAGCTCTGTTGTCCCAGCAATTTTGGGACACCCTGTCAAATTCTTCTACTTTTTAAAATTCATATTTACATTTCAAATAATTGGTACTATTTGCAGGTTTTCGTCAACTCTTAGAATATGCATACACCACCCATTTAGCCTTAAACTTAGCCAATGTACAGGATGTATTAGAAGCAGCGTCTCATGTTCAAATGGTAGCCGTAATTCAAGCGTGCTCCAGCTACCTGCAAACCCAAATCGACATTGATAACTGTGTGGATATTGCAACCATAGGTAGATAAATATACAGTGCTTGACTGAAGTCATCTTTCTAGCTCTTGAATTGTTCAACGAACAAATCGATGAATTTGGAACTCTGTTATTGGATCATGCAGTGGCGGATTTGTAGTTGTGGCCGTCCTAGGGCTCAGCCCATAAACGTTTTTTATTGCCAACTTACAACAAAAACACTCTAGGTTAACTATAACAGCTGCTAGGTTTCAGAGTCAGAGATAATTGGGGCTCTGAGCTAGTGTCAACACATGTGCCTTCACCAATATAACTGGACTCGGGTGCCAAAAGTAGAGATTTCTATGATTTTTTTTCATTCTGGTACTTTCAGTTATTTCTTGTTATCATCTTGTTACGATTGGCCGCCCAAAGCCCAGACCTAATGTGCCTTATGGGAAATCCGCCACTGGGATCATGTGAACTATTTTTCCAACAAAAAAACATTTTCTAAAGAAAAATGGCGACGTGATTTCTACATGAAAAATTCTGTCGAATGATGATCGCACGTTATGTTTCACGTTATTTCTCAAAATTCAATTTCCATGGTAAAAAAGTGGTTTAAATCGTTCAATTTGTCAGTTCCGAATTTGTTTTTTTTTTTGTTGTTGAAAAGTTCAACTTGTTGATTATTCTGAATGAAATATCTTATGTTTTTAGCGGAAACTTATTCACTAACACAACTAAGGATGAAAGTGTATAGGTTTATGAGTGGACATTTGTTAGAATTTTCCAACAGTACAGAATTCTATAGACTGACCCCACAACAATTGGAAAATCTGTTAGCCTACGATTTTCCAGTGGACTGTTCCGAAGCTGATGTACTAAGGATAGTCTTGGCCTGGTTCTTTCATGTTGATACTCATGAGTAAGTGTTTGGTCATTTTGTAAGCGTTCATTAAATCGGATCAATCCTTCAAATTCCTTTCTAGAAATGAATCTGGAACCAGGTAACGTTTGTAAAATGGAAGTTGCTATGTATTCAAACAATTAGCTACTCTTTCAGTCAATTACTGTCATATTACGGAGTGTTGAGTATCAATAATGAACTGCATAACATTTGTATGTCATGAATCGAAACTATTTGAACATTTGTTCAGATTATGCCATTGAGTCTTGAATGGATTCTTTACCTTGTATGATGTATTCATTGAAAACACAATAGTCCATGGGACCAGAGCCATTTTCAGCACACTCCTTAACTGGTTTATAAGAGACTTTCTGGGACTTTATTTTGGCGCTTTTCTATCAAAGACTTCTCGGACCTAATTCGGATATCTGTGGTGCCAGATTTTTTATGAAGGTGATTTACTTCACCTGAAAAACGGAGTTTGGGAGGAGGCCTAGGTAGCAACAATGAAAAAAGGCATAGGAGGTGCCTACAGTAAACTAGAAGAATAGACTTGGATCAGAATCCAAGAGAATGTAGGGTGATTGACTATGGATTTTACGCTTACAACACTCAATATATAATAATAATAATAATAATAATGACTTTATTGAAAATTGAAAATTGACAAAATTGAAAAAATTGACAAATTGATATTACAAAAAAGAAAAAAGAAAAAATTTCAATTTCAATTTTTCAAAAGGCGAAGTTCAGGATGCTCCGTGAGGGGCTCCTGTTCTTCCACTTAACCCTTGACTTAAACCTATACCTATACAGCGTACATACTATTATCGAAAACTAAATAAGATTGGAAACGTCAAAACAAGATGTTGAATCAGATGTTATCCTGTTTCGAAAGGTGTTCTTCAAACATTATAATAATGATAATTAATTGACTTCATTTAACTTGGAGAAGTTTAGCTCATAGCTATCCTTCCACTCAATATCTCCATTCCATATACAAGGGTGTGAAAAGGTTTTTTTTTAATGGAACACTATTTTATTGCATATTTCGAATAAGCGATATTTGCTGATTTCAAAAATATATAATTTTCATGATGGTGATGTTTCTATCCTAATTCCATAACAAATAATACTATGAGAGAGAGAGAGAGAGAGAGAGAGAGATAGAGAGAGAGAGAGAGAAAATCTTTATTAATAATAATATTTTCACAGAAACTAGAAAAATGTACCTTTGAAGACGACTGACTATACTTCAGAGTACTTTTCCCTCCCCTCTCTATAAATATTCATTATTTAACTGTTCTATTTATGTATTATGGAGCTCTGTTGATTGAAATAATACAGGGTGCTTCAGAGTTGTAATGACAGAAGCCTAGGGGAGATTCCGCTCAGTTTAACACTCTGGATGCCGGGACCCTGTTTTTCTCTCCCTATTACAGGCTTTGTCAGTCAAATGTGACCGACGGTGACTTATAAAAAACGGTGCTTGGCAGTGATTTTTAACCGACAGCACAAGTTTCAGTTCCAGCCGTGTCATGCAAAAACGACCGACGATGCATTCAATCTCCATTAGATCTGAATTGGCGGCGCTCAAATGAACGTATGTGAATTTTCTTGTGGTGCTCACTATGAAATTCATAGCTACAATAATGCCACAAAAACGTTTATTGTATAAAATGTGGAACAAGTCATGAACATATCTGAATCTATAATTATTGTTGGACTGGGTTTTCACATGACATTTAATGCACATAGAAGGCATCTCTTGGCAGCCCTCTCAATGCATCCGCACTCTCTTCACCTCATTCTTAGCCCCCTTGTACATATTTCACGAGTTTTTTGTAACAAATTGAACAATTTTTCTAGCTTTCGGTGTTTCATCCTTTTGCTGTTATAGCAAATGTTCCAACCCCTGTGAGTTTATCGATAAATTAATAACTAATAGGAGTACATCATGCACTTTTACTTATATACATTGAAAAAAAATGCCTTGTCAGGCAGCGTTGGTCGATTTTAGCTGACATTATTTTATGCTCTTCTGTAGGTACACCAGAACGACTTTACAATGTTTGAGCAGCAATATGCTGATCACTTAGATACCTCCTACTTGTCCTGACGCGTTCGAACCAATGAAAATGCACGAGATCAAGCTGTCAGGCTCTTTTCCGAATTAAACTGGCATTGCTGAATCTGCTGATTTCTTATTCCGAAATAAAAAAAGTCACTGAAAGTGACAGATGCTTGTGAGCAGACATACTATTCATTCCAAATATTTCGACTGAACATTCTGCTGAAATTGCTGAATATCAAAAGGTAGTTTGGCTTCAGTGAACTGTCATTATCTTAAAGGGGGAAGGAATGTCACATCCATTTCCGTTCCGTTGTTTCTCGAACATCAAGTCTTGTCTTTTAACAATAATAAATTAATAATATGAATTTCAATATCAGAAAATACCTGTTATTAAAATAATAAACGCTGAGAATAATATGGAGTATGAAGTAGTAGAGGTAACAAAAAAAGAAGCAGCATTGGCTAAATAAATAACTAAATTAACCTGAAATGGTTTCTGAATTCATCATCTTTCAATTCTCGAATCTCGAATTCTCCATTCCGAAATCAAAAAATTCACTGGAAGTGACAGATGCTTGTCAGCAGACATACTCATTCCAAATATTTCGACTCAACATTCTGCTGGAATTGCTGAGTATCAAAAGGTAGTGTGGCTTCAGTGAACTGTCATATTTTAGAGGGGGAAGGCAAGGAGCAGCATTGGCTAAATAAACTAAATAAACCTGGAATGTCTCCTGAAATTCATCATTATTAAGGCATATTGCGATTTTCATGAATCTCAATTCTCAATCTGGTGCATCATGAGAAATTTATGGCAAAAAAATGTCCAAGTATTCTTCATCACTCGAGCTTGAATCGCCATCGTCAACAATCGTAGAAACTATAGAGGATACAAGAATCGATTTCTCTTCCATGTTAAATATTAAATTTCCAAAATTTATAACAAGTAGGAGGCTAAACATCTATTTCAGATAAACGAGAAACTACTACTGATGAAAACCATGAAAACGTGTCCCGAATTACAGTAGTGAATTTTTGATTTTATATTTCGGAACACAGATTTTCAGCAGAGTCAGTGGATCAACTGACAGTACTGACCTTGAATTCGGAATATAGCCTCAGTTGATCTACTGACAGTACTGACCAGTCGAAAATTTCAAACTTACAATTTCCCAGGTTAGATATTCGATTGACATATGCGGTTCGTATCGTCCGCTACATCCACTTCAAAGAGATCTCGGGCCGAAAGCTGGACAGCATCTTGGACAAAGTATTCGAAGACCGCAAGCACGGATGGCAGCTATACAAAATCATCCTGCAGGAGCTGTACCTGCAGTCCACCCAGAACAAATCGAGCTTGATCTCGAACCTGCTGAATTCCCGCGGCATGGAAATGGCCGTTCTCAAGATAGGCGGCTTCGGGATCAGCGGCATCACGAACGAGATCACTTACTGTTTCTCCACGGAGAGGAAGTGGAAGCACCTGACGTCCATTCCGCACGTGGAGCAGTGTAACTTCGGCACGGCGGTGTTCAATAACGAGCTGTATATCGTCGGGGGGTGTTTCAATCAGAGCTTGCAGGAGAATATCCATCCGTTCGGATTCAAATACAGCCCCAGGTGAGTTATATTTATATGGTGTTCAGGGGCCCCCACTTGTGTAATCAGAGATTCGTTGGATGTTGTCGACAATCTTACTCAGACTATTAGGCCGAACAATATTTCAGGTGGAGGTCTTGGCAATGTGGAAGTTTCCTTCCGATGGATTTTCATAAAATAAGTTCGGAACTCTCTAGTTTTATGTCCACGCTGTACAGAATGGCGACCGATGAAGTCCAAGTCGTTTTAATTCTCAAATTTAAAGCAATTTCTAATTTTCGGGGCGGCAAACTGTGACGTACCTTCTAAATCTACTCTGAAAATAGCTGCTGATGGTGAAGAATATAGCTAGCGAATAGCTAACGAATAGCTTACGAATGAAAAACGAATGAAAAAAATAGAAGAAGAAGTAAAACTGGTAAACAAAAACATAACCACAAATACACTCGGAGCGAGAATGCAGAAGGTATAGGTCATATACGTATTAATAAACAATACGGATCATAACGGGTGCCAGGATGAAGCCAAAAATATGAAACAAATGAATATCCATAAGGATTTGGTGGCATGATACGCATGCGCCATGCGCTATTATAGTAGTCATCAAAGACATGCGTTTCGGTGGACAATGACGTTTACTAGCCTTTCAATCAAAGCAGTATGTGTCTGATCGTTTCAAAACTTTTCCTTATAGATAGTCATTTGTCTTCAAAAATCGGCTTCATGTTTCGCTATGGAAACAGATAGAGATTATCCGTATTGATTATTAATACGTATATGGTATAGGTCGCGTGCACGATGACCGACCCTGGAGGCAAAATATTGAAACACAACCTCACTCTTCTGTGAATTATTGAAACACAACCTCACTTTTTTATTTGGTTACAGTGGAATCAAAGGATTGAAATAGTTTTTCACAATATTTTGGCATACGAATCGTGTTTCTTGCGTTATTCATTAATTCAAGCATGCCTTCGCAATGTGCTGTTGTACAATGCACAAAAAATGCAGCAAGAGACTAGGGAATATGATTTTTCAGGTAAATAGTAATCTCACATAGTTATCATTATGAAATGTTGTCTTTCCTTATTAAAATTCCTTCTGCCTTCTGCCACTTCTGCAATACAAGCTATATAATACTGCTAATAGATTGAAAATGTCTACAACACACACGATCGTCAGCATGTCAGACCAGTCCTCCCGATTGATTGCAAGAATCCAATTTTCTGGCATTATTTTAGAAATTTCAGATGTATTTCTATTAGCTTCTATCGCAGAAAGAATTCCGATGAGAAATCTGAGAAATTACCAAATTTCAAAAATGAAAACTATATGTGAGTGACTATAGTAGGTACTTACTTTTGAATCATATTGTACCAACCGGATTACTTCGTCTTCCGCTGCAGTTTTTGTGCATTTCACAACAGCATAATGTGATGGCATGAGCGAATGGATGAATAGCGGAAAAATACGATTCGTATGCCAAAATAATCGTGAAAAACTATTTCAATCACTTGTAAACAAATAAGTAAAGTGACGTTTGTGTTTCAATATTCTGCCTCCAGTGTCGGTCATCTGACAGTTCTTGCACGCAACCCATGCAGAAGGTATAGTTGGCTTCATTCTGACAGGTTATGTTTCTGTTATCTATGCATTGGACTATCAGGAACAGAGCTCGATTCTAAACGAAAATATAATTGAATCAATGAATCACTATCGGCTACATTCAATGATATAATCCTTCCTAACTTCCTGCCATCGGTCAGGATAGAATGAAGCCGACACCCATGGCTCCTGCCTCTTGTTATGCTTGTCAGTATTTTGAGTGGTGTGGACGGACTCGAAGTATTAGGGGCTGTTGCAAGATATAATCTGCAACTTTCCTAGAAAATTGATCCGTTTTATAAAGGAACGAATTCATTAGCAAATAACTGAAAAGCGATGAATAACACATTGTAATATAACGATAGTGAAAAATTATAGGTACTGCGAAATATCATAATTTAACTTTATTTGTAATCAATTTCATTCAGCCAATGAGAGATTTATGGGAATTATTCATAATAATTGACAAAGTAGGATTGAAGAACCTATTATATCCCATTTCCGGAAATCTAGACATATTGATAATGTCGGCAACGTCGTACTGGCACAGAGAATTGTATTTTAACTCGGGAGTTGCGTTTTATTTATCCGATTCCGCCACCGGAATCACTTCAATGTGTCATTTTATTTGTAACTTTTCCGATTCCGGTTGCTACTTTTCATTCCGTCTCACTACAAGGAATGATATGGAATGACTGTTGACAGTTGTCAAAAAATGAAATTAGATTGATGAAAAACGAAACATTTTGAAAGTAGGAGACGATTAGAAGTCATTTTCATCTTGAGGTTCACAAGTTTATGATTCTTCCAAGTAAGACAGGTTTCAAATCTTCATTCCCAGATAAAATGAATCCGTTCGATCTCGGAGAACTTTCTCCAATCAGCACGAGCACCGCTCCAGAATAGAAAACGTAAACACGAATCGACCATTAAACAACACGAGTAGGAAAGAGACAGGTTACCGTAAATCATGCTATCTATGAACGGTCGTCTCCCTTCCAGTTGTTTATATTGAGTTCATTGCCAAACAGGGAACCGCATCTGTCAAAATCTACACACTCTACTCTGTCCCAGGTACAACAAGTGGTCGACCATAGCGCCGATGAAGATCGAGCGTTGCCGCTTCACGCTCACCGTCCTCGGCGAATCGCTGTACGCGGTGGGCGGGGCCAGCGAGGCGGACGAGTGCGACACGAGCACCTGCGAGCGCTACGACCCGATGGTGGACGCGTGGCACACGGTGCAGCCGCTGCCTGCGTACGCCACGCAGCACGCAGCCGCCAGCTGCGAGGCCGATTACGCGCGGCGGTTGTACGTGAGCGGCGGCATCGATCGCGATAACGTGCAGGTTGGTTTCTGGTTTTAGTACTTTTTCTTTGAATTCAGACTGTATTTGTTTCATACTATACCTTTTCAATTTCGGAATCGGTAAGTTATATTTCAGAGAAGGTAAGCTCGATTTCAGAATTGGTTAGTTCGATTTCAGAAATGGTAAACTCAATTTCAGAATCGGTGAGTTGAAATTCAGAAAAGGTCCATTCAATTTCAGAAATAGTAAGTTGTATTTCAGAAAATAAATCCTTATATTTGTTTGACATATTTCAAGTTGCATATGATTTGAAAGAATTCAAACACTTATGAGGTATATGTTCTCATTGAATGACCTGAACATTCTTTAAGACATCACAGTCTTAATTCTATTTGGTTGAGCAATCTGTTTGGATTCCCGGCTATGACCCTTTGGTGATGCTTTTGCCAGAAGCTTTTCACTTCTGACCTGAAGGTATTCCATAATATAATTATTGGGTTCAACCAATGTAATGTGCCAATCTGCAAATAAGATTATCTTGAAATCCTTCCTTCATGCAAATCTCCTCTGATATTCTTGAATGTGCAGGTGCATTATCCAGAACTACCACTATATTATCTGTAGGATGCCCATTTTAAACGCATGCTCATCATCCTATGAACTAAGATTCATACAGTGGCTTATTCAATTCACGATAATGAATATATGTAATCAGGATTATTCAATTCAAGTTGAACTCTTTTTTCTGAAATTGAAGTTGAAAAGGTATAGTGTTTGTACTGACACTCAAGTCACTCAAAATACAGTATTTGCGGGAATCAATGTGACCAGGTGGCGCTCGGTTTCCATCGTTCCATGTCAAAGTCACGTAAAAACTGGAGAAAAACAAACTCAATCCTAATTCAATCCCATTAGTGCCATTAGCTTGTGTACTGTGTACTGATAAGAGTGATAAGTTTTTAAATTTCTTGACATTAATTGTCAATATTCGATCGAGAACGCCTGTTGTAGATGTTCTTTTGGCAGATATTTTGCTCTATTTAGATGGAAAAAGCCGACCAGTGGAAGGAGAAGCAGTTCTCCGTGCTAATCATGTGATTTTGTGTGAGGCAGAATACTTCAACAAAAGGCACATTTTTGCACTTTGTCTACAAACTTCGGCGATGAAATCTTCCCCACATGAAGTAAAATTGAAGTTGGGGTCCAGAGGAACTCCTGTAGAACAATGGATTTATATTTGTTCATGCAAAGCAGGACAATCTGGGTATTGTAAACATGTTGTAGCTGTTGTATGTCAATTTATTTGCTCGTCATAATTAGTTCGAATTGTTTGAACTATCTCCAACTCTTCACCCGTTCACTGTTCACTAAACTAATAAAAATGTAATAATGTAAAACAATTAACCAACTCAACCATTATCACTACCAACAGTGCCAACACTTGTATGTCATTGACAAGTTTGGCTACAGCTACAGCAAGCTATGCACTTTATCCGTAGACAACAGTTTGTTTTCCCCCAGTTTGAAGTTCGTATTATGTAATCTAGATGTCGTCCACTTAGTGAAAATGGCTAATAATGGTTATTTCATTTTACAAAGTTTAACATCTTATAATAGTCTTCAATACTATTTGAAAATGATATACTCTTATTCGGATTCAGATATGTAGCTGGTTGCATTGAGTTAGGAGAATACCATCAGAAAACATATTTTATTGAAGTCCACATACAGGCATTATACTATAACCAAACTCTAAACATAGAAAAATACCTAAAAAGTCCCCAGTGTACTCACTAACCGAATCGCTTATGTCCATTAAGTACTCATAGCCTTTCAAATAACCGTTAGTCATTAAAGACAGTTACCAAATCCAAAATATTCTGTACTAACAACCTTCCGTGACTGCTCAAGTAGTCTGACTCCAGCGATGCCAATAAGCTGATTTGTCCTATGTATCAGGATACTCGAAGATTCTTACTTTAAAGGTTCTCTTCGTTGTATCTTTCCATTACTTCCTTGAATGAATCTTTTTTCTCTTGTGACAATCTCCTGTCATCTCTTTTTCACCATCTTGTATATCGTAGTTCACTTCAATATCTCTTTATGCAGCTAACAAGATGCCGCCTTTGTGCTGCTGAATTAGGTCAGGTTGACTTTGGATTCTCTTTCCTAACTAGTCGTATTGGTTGTCTAAGCTACAGGGGCTATAAGCGATTACTGTCTATATTATACGTCATGCCCTTTACAAATCTAACCTATTTGGTTTTTAACCACCCCACACCTGACACCATGTTTTATACAAGTGTTTTTAATTAAACTCAAGATACACAGAATAGAGTATTTATACTATTTAACACAGTATCTTCGTCAGGTGATATCGTACCAGTATATCACCTGATGAAGCGAAACATGTCCTGTGTTTGAGAATTTGTGGATATCTTATCGTTTGTGGAGTTTTTACCGAATATTGATATGTTTTTTCGTCAAGAATTAGTATATTTTCACTATTTCCAAGAAACCACTCAAGTCATGTTATTTTTTTCAGAGCTTTATGTATTGTTATGATGTAAATATGGAGAAATGGAAGATATGTGCTGCCATGTTGAAGCCTAGAGCTGACCATGTGATGGTCAGCATAGGAAAATGTTTGTATGTGTGTGGAGGTTGGACGGAGGACAGTGAAACCAGAGTCAGGACACTTGTCGACACGATCGACGTATACAATGTGGACACAGATTGTTGGAAGGTAATGCATGATATTTCGTAAACAGGGTGGTTCTTAACTGATTGTACATTTGTCCAAAACAATTTGATCAAGTTTGTTCGATGTGACGTCATTCTTGTCTGTTTGACTCAAATGGTCTTGAAATGTCAAGAAATCTTTGTCACACGATTTGAAGATTTTTGAACGAAAATATTGGTTTAGTAGGTTCTCTAAAATGAGAAAATTACAAGGAGAAATTAAATGAAAATTTATTACATGGTAAGTATTTCAAGTTGTATTTGTAATACAAAGTGATTAAAAAAAGAGGGAGATGTATGTACAAGATAATTGCTTCAAAGAAGAAATATTGGTAGAGGAGTCCTACCATGTTTCAGATCTTCATCAATCCATATATGCGCGTGAAGGTATACTTGCAGAAATGAGGTGAAATTATAACAAAGTCTGTAATCAACATAGCATAAATTTTGGATTGGAGCAAGACAAAACTATTCCTATAATAATTATCCGGAATGGTCCTCAGTCCAATTACCAGGACAGACATTTTTGAAGTATTGATAATATTAATGATAGTATGTCTTCTTGATTCCTAAGATATAAAATTATAATCAATGAAGAAAACATGAAAACAAACATTCTATCCTTATTGTTTGGTCCAACATGACGAATATTTAGAACAAGTTCTAAATTTCAGCTGCTGTTTGACGTGACGTCACTGATAACATCACAGATCTGTAGTTGGATCAAATTGTTGGACCATGAGACACAGCCTCAACCTGCTAAAGTTGATTGAGTTTTTATTTTGCAAGCTTTTTTCTATGGTTATTTCTGTTCATCGCATTAGGCATTCCAGAACACGTGACTTTTGACAAATTTCTAATGGCCGCCGGTAGGCACACAAGTATTTTTTGTTGATTTACGTAGCAGCAGTATAATCTTTGGTAGATATATCAAATAATAATAATGGTTGTTTTGAATAAAAGTGGATATTTATTATCCTTGGACCGCTATAACAAAGATATTGCGATACGAAAGTATGTGTGCCTACAGTCGGCCATATTGATTTAGATGGATTGACAGCATCTTGGATAGGTCAATACCTCGCAAACAGGGATGCTAATAAAAAATAATCAACTTTATAGCAGGTTGAGCAAACGCAAACGAAGATGTCTACTTCAAAAGTGCAAAACGCTGTTGAGTTGTAGGTTTTACAGGTTATAGTGTACTGATAAAAGCCCGCAAGCCGCGGTATCTTTATTTGGTATATTCGAATTATTAGTTGGTATTATTATCATTGTTTCTGAATTGGTTTCTAATATAGATTGTAGAGCTAGAACTAGGTTATGACACGATAGGTCGTCGTCTATTCTTGTACTGGAATACTGAGTTCTCGCACTCGGATTGGATTCATGGAAGTATTCGAATACCATGTATTCGATTCTCGGAAATACTCGATTCTGCCCATCACTACTCGGTGCTCCTTTCATTGGATCAAAGTTTCATCCCATTTCGCCAAAAAACCGACCTTTTCCGAAGTCGAATTCGATTCATCGTATCCAGGATGAACAGGAGATGGTGTAGAAACTCCTATCAAATGCCATCTACTGTTTTTAGTCAAAGTTCTTGACCTACGACCTACTTGACAGAAGGATTCTTATCAATATCGCGGAATATAGGTCGCATTTTACCCGTTAGGTGGCGAAATCTCAACCAAAATTCAAGGTTAATAGAACTGATGATGATTGAAATTCCCAAAAATTACAGTTCAATTCGTACTTTCAAATTTAATCTCATTTGCTTTGAGGTTATAAGGAGGTTATAGTATGAATGTTATAATGATAGAGAGTTGAAGTGTTGTCATGAACGTTAACGTAAACGTAGAAATTGACAGCTACGCATGCGCATTTTCCAATTCTTCACGTTTGCGTTGTTAGTGGGCTTACGGGTGTACGTTATCTCGTTCCTTCACGTATACCTTAAACTATACTCGAAATATGCTGATGAGTCAAAATTATCAAATTCGAGATCACCAACGAGTTCTGCATCAAGGAGTCCTCTAATTTTGACAGGAATAAATGTTCGAATCTAAACACACAACCAAAAATGACCAATACAAACCGAAAACAAAATGTATTATTACGTTATGATGACAGTGACGACCAAAGTGGCGACTTCAACTCAATTTAACGACAATACGTAAACGTTATTTTTCGTACGTTAACGTCGACGTGGAGGTCTACGTACAGTGATTACTTCAACTCTCTATTATTGTTTCTGGTCCAAGCTGTGCGTGAGCGCCGTTTTCTGTTTTCTGTCATGAAGAAATCTGTAAAAAGTGTTGCCATCTTGCGGACAACTGAGAAGTAATATGCCAATATTGCGGAATCTGCGGTCAAGCGTTTTGGGAGAAACAAAACACTGTGATTACGAAAATCTTGAAACAGAATTCCTCTGCTGATATCTTTAGAGGTATTCTTTCAATATGAAGTAACTAAAATATTTCACTATTTCACTTGACCTGAACTGAAACTACTCATATATGAAGCATAAACTGTGGCATAGCTGTCCTTCAGCTGTCCTCAAAGCGGGACCAACTTCTGTTTCTATAGGCAACGAAATCGACCAATAGGCGTTGATGCCGACGTAGGGAAAAATAATACGAAACTTGTCAAACCAATATGGCTGTTTCCATCCTTCACTTTCCGTCTTTATGGATTCAAAAACTACCTCTCATTTTGGTCCCATTTTTGTTGGGATATCATATAGGCGATGCGCCATATATAGGAATAATAGATATATAGTTCTTACAAATGACGTTCATGCATGTCAACTTTATTCCTCTGAGATGTCAACTGATTCAGGTTCAAGTCAAATGTGTCCGTTCGTTCAAAACGAAAGAATATCACTTTTGTTGTAGGTAGTGACTAAGGTTCCGACGCCGCGCTACCACGCCGGCATCGTCTGCATCGATCCGAAGATCTACTTCATCGGCGGCTTCCACAGCGACGCTATGTTCGACAAGGACACGGCCGCCATCGAGTACTACGACATCGAGGCCGATCTGTGGACGATCGAGGACAAATATCCACAGGACATCTGGGAGCACACGTGCGCCACCCTGTACATCCCCAAGTGCCGGGACGACATGGAGGTGTTGCCGGGCATCGGGGCCAATACTTGATTCGAGATTTGTGTTTCTTGTGATATTTATTGAGAAAGAAGCAAAAAATGACATTTATTTTCGAAAATGTGTTTTATTGTTCATCTTCGAATGCAATGGGGAAGTCTCCTTCAGATGAATTTTCATAAAAGAAGTTCGGAACTCTCCAGTTTTATGTCCACGCTGTACAGAATGGCAACCAATAAAGTCCAAGTCGTTTTCATTTTCAAATTAAAGCAATTTCTAATTTTCGGGCAATTGGGACGGCAAACTGTGACGAACATTCTGAATCTAGTCTAAAAATAGCTGATGGTGAAGAATATAGCTAGCAAATAGCTAAGGAATGAAAAAAATAGAAGAGGTAAAACTGGTAAACAAAAACATACATAACCACAAATGCACTCCAAGCAGGAATGCAGAGGGTAGTTGGCTTCATTCTGACAGGTAATGGTTTTGTTATTTATGCATTGAAATATCTCGAATAGAGTTCGATCTTAATCGAAAATATCATTGAATCAATGAACCACTGTCGGCTACATTCAATGATACTATCCTTCCTAATTTACTGTCATCGGTCAGAACAGAATGAAGCCGACACCCATGGCTCCTTCCTCTTGGTGTGTCTGTCAGTATTTTGAGTGGTGTGGATGGACTCGTGTATTTGGCGCTGTTGAAAATATATAATCTGCAACTCTCCTAGAAAATAGATCCGTTTTATTAAGGAACGAATTCATTAGCGAAAAAATGACTGACAAGTTATGGATAACATAATATAACGATAGTGACAAATTATAGATACTCTGTCGCAAAATATCATAATTTATGTTTATTGGAAATCAACTTCATTCATGCAATGAAAGAATTATGGGATTATATAAAGTAGGATTGAAGAACCTTGATTATTATGCATTCACAGAACAATTTCCGGAAATCTAGACATATTGATGATGTCGGCAACGTCGTACTGGCACAGGGAACTGTGTGTATGTGGATTTTCAGAAAATACGTCATAGGAATGGTGGAGGAGCCAAGATCCTCTTTTATTCATCATTTTCTGAATGAATGCTGGAATAATATCCCTATGAATGTTCTGAAATAATTATGTTTTGAAATGTACAGGGTGAGCAAAACCATCTTGGCATCATTAGAAATTTTATACAGGTTTTGACATTACAGAAAGATATTGCAGCCAATTATATTATTTTTTACGGAACACCCCGTATATTTTGGCACATTTGGATAGTCCCAGGCTTTCCAATTTCAAATATTACCCTACCTTTTTTCCACAATTTCAAAGAGGACTTTCTTCCACAGAACATTCGCAATATTCATCACATTCCATAGGATTTGAGACTTTAAAATATAGGCGCAGCGTAAGCGTAATATATCAATCAACGATATAGGTGAATTTGTGAGGCGCTCCAACAACCTAGAAAATCACTGGAACCTCACATTCTTGTCCATGTAACAAACTAATACAATTCAGTTACTCTATAATATCGACAGGTGTAAGGCTAAATGAAAATTAATCCTGTCAAAAATGTCAAAGTTTTTGATTTATCAGCAAATTGATGTATTCGCCATAAATAAATTAAAAATAAAGAAAAATATAACACGTCGCCCCATCTGACGGCAACAACTTGAACAAACAAAAAACAAATGTGAACCAATGAAAACAAAGTAAACAGGCTGCTTTGACAGCTTTCAAGAACTCCGATAGGTGGCGGCGTACGCTTTTTTTCTATCCGTCTATCGCAAACTCAGACGAATTATTCGTCTGAGATCGCAAATAATTCATGATACTGTTTCACCCGGAACGGAATATAGTTTGTTTATGCAAAGTTCAGTTGAAACTAATTGAAACCATTGAACTCAATGTATATTGAGTTCATTGGTTGAATCAGATCTTCAAATCAAATGGATGTCGGGCAGCGCTGCCGCTCTCTTTTAGAACAACTTCGAACTTTCAAAGGGACCGACAGCATGTTGTTGACTTTGCCTTGCCTGACTTTGCATAGACTTTACCTACAAGCACAGTACTAGTTCTACAAGTGCCTACAAATGGTCTGAGATGTTTATAAGTTATACAGTGGTTATACATCCTTGTAATACCATACATACTTTGAAACTATCGTGCTGCTTGTAGAATTGTGTGCAGGATTCCAGGATTATCACATTATCAACAGAAATCAACGTGAAATCAACATACAATTATACACAAACAGACAAACACCCTTACCTGTGCCTCATTCTTTACCTACATCCGGTGAGTCCGGTCCGGTGGAATCCGATTATTCCGATTCTGATAATAATTTTTCAATTTCCCCAACATCGATTATACACAGTCGCAATGTGGGTTGCCGCGCTGACGGAATCTTGTTTTCTTTGGAACCTGCGCACATGGGTGAAATGCCTGACAAGTAGAATAGAATACGAACTTCGCGAGCCGATGAGCCGAATACAGCGAAGCAATCTATGTAGTGAGCGGAGCGAGCTCGAATAACTTTTTGGTTTTGGTAAAGGTGGTTTTGGTATACAACCGTCAGCTCAGCTCAGTCACTCCTCAGTCAGCCCGTCAGTGTTATTTTTGTTGTGCAACGGATATTGCAGTGTTTCAGTGCTTTTGCAGTGGATACTTCATACAGACTAGAGACTACTTCGTTTGGAACTGTAGTTCATTGGGAAAACGACTTGCATCCAGATCAACACATACCTATTATTGAAACCACATTACATACCAACAAACTCGTGAATATCTTTAAATTATCTACATTACAGAAGATTATCGTGTGCTGTAAATATTGTGAACTGTTCAACTAGCATTGGTTTAAAATGTTGAGTTTTTCCCAGACAGGATACATTTCAGTGGGGAACTAACCTATCTATAGGTACCTACCTACCCACCAATTATTTGTGAAACGAAATTTTATCCAGTTAAAGTGTATACGACTCGATTATGCTCTGATGGAATACCTTTGTAACAGAAGTTGTGAACATTCATTTACGAAGATACAATCGGTGATTTTTCGGAACAGTTTGTTCAAATTATAATGTCGGGAAGTCACATGAATAACGAGCCAGAACATAAATCGCCCAGGGAAAGTGGCGAGGATTCTGAAGACGAAAGCGAAATTCTAGAGGAAAGTCCTTGTGGCAGATGGCTCAAACGACGAGAAGAGGTAAGTCCAAGTCCATTCTTGTTGATTCGAAAATGACAGTGGGAATCGGGTTTTCTAACCTAACAAGTGCCAGCCGGCAACCATTTTGCAGAAAAAACATTCAATCCGCATGCTCTACGTCAGAGATCGATTCCGGCGCCGTTTCCTACATAAAATTCACTTCACGTAGCCTGTACTAGTGTACTGTCTAGGTACATGCCGGCTAAATCGGTTTTATGTAAATAGTGAGGCATGGCTCCGGATTTATCGCCTAATTATCGCCTATTATCGCTACCATTTTCAACGGTCTCGATATTTTCAATAGCGACATTCTTGAATTTCTCGTAGAGTTATATTTAGCAACATAAAAGAACTATGACCTCGGTTGGTGCCTTTACATTTACAACCGGTTTGTCATAGGTATTTTGTATTTCCATTAAAGTAGTACTTAGGTATCTCATTCTTGATTCTCAAGAAGGCAGACTGGAAATAGGGAATGTCGGATTTATGGTAATTTTTGCTTAGGTGAGCTCACTAGAATCTAGATAGGTAATTGCTAGTCAGATACTAGGTACCTAGGTAAGTATTCATTGGATTGGAGTTGATTGACCGATATTTATAATTATTATTCCATTTCCATCAATATTATTCCCTTACTTAATTAACTACCTAGCTACCTATTCTAGGTACAAAGTTGATTGAAATTGGACTAATGTGGGCTAACCCAGGATATAACATTATTTATTGTCCACCACATCATGTCACTGAAAAGTTCCACATTGAGAGTAATAAACCATAACTAGAGGGATTCTATTTGTTCAAATATTCTACATAATTTTTTCTGAATGTTTTTGATAAAAGAGGCCACAGCCTTTAGGGATATCCCGCAACTGTTTGGTATTTTCGACTTGGACAATTATTCTCACGTTTTAGTAGCGCCAACTGATAAGACTGAAAATATAGCCCCCCTTATTGCCGATTTTGTTTATGGATTTTTTTCCCCGAACCTGTAAGATTTATGGTTTCCATAATATCGTACCTCGCCGACCATAGTGGGACACCCTGTATATTCTATTTTGATATTGTCATGGGTCTTGATGTGGCTCGAGTCCCAAAATCCTCTTCCTCTTCTCGTTCCTCTCCCTATGTGAGGTATATAAAACTGACACCGCCGTTTTGGCACAATCAAATGAAAACCATCTAATATTTGATAACTATTAATTGACTATTTTTTAACACCAACCCAATTTTTTAACTCCACCCAAATAAGTCATCGACATGATTCAAACGCTAAAATTTTTTACTTTTTAATAACTTTCGAATGGTGTATCGATAATTTGAATATGAGCATATTTGAATGATTATAAAAGGGACAAATACGCATTCAATACCTAAAATGCATGTAAATTTTTTCATGTTCTCATAATTCATCCTTCTTTCGAATATTTTCCATCACAATGACTGTACTATTCTTGACAAATATACCATCTGAATTCACATTCTCCCTCGCATTCTCCAAAAACCCACTGATTGTGCAGAAGATAGTAGATAGATAGATAGTAGATCAACGAAGACACCACACATATTGCCATTTTCAGTCATTATAAAAATTTTTCTTTCGAATATTCTCCTTCACAACTATACTATTTTTGAAAAATATATTATTTGAATCCACATTCTTTCGATTTCTACTTTTCAACTGATTGTGCTGAAGTTATTGAATATTCATTGTCCTGTCCTTATAATAATTTTTCTTCTATATATTTTTCATCAGTACTGTTCTATATTTGAAAAATATATCATCTGGATTCACGTTCTTTCAATTTCAACTGATTGTGCTGGAGTTATTAAATAGTATATCAA